ACTGGGATACCTTGGAAGAAGTCTGGGGACTTCCTGTTATTTCTCTCTTTTTCTTCTGTCACAGTTACAGTGAGAGCACCAACCGCTGGGCATAACGGCACATCACGTAAAACGTGGGGAAGGATGTTTCAACAATCTTCATGCCAGAAGGCAGTGAACGTGAAACTAGTCCTTTGGTGTTTAAAGGAACATGAAATGGGCCACGGGCATTTCTGAGCTGAAGGTCAAGAAGCAAACTTTAGAGAAGTAGAGAATTTATGATATAACACTCCTGTCAAGATCAAGAAATGGGTGTGTAGGACCCACTGCAAAATGAGAACCAAAAAGCTGTATCGTGCTTTAAGCCCCTCAAATGTACACTGAACTATCACACTTTGCCTGACTTCCCTATCATCTGTTAATGCTTGTTTTTGTATTATGGGAAATGGCTGTGACTCTGAGTTATGGAGGCAACGCAGGTCCCGACAGTATCTATACTGTAAGAGGACACCTGCTCCGTGCCGTTTGGATCAGTCTATAGCAGGACTGCACTTCCGCACGCAGCCTTTGTTTTCTTTCATTAAACTGCCTTTATCTCAACCCATGAGTTTTTCATCTTATTTTCTCCCCCTCTCCTGCTGAGGAGGGGGAGTGAGGGAGCGGCTTGGTGGGCACCTGGCAGCCACTCCACCACATAAGGCCATTCTGAAATTAGAGTTTTCAGATCACTTTTTCTGACCACTGTGAACATTCAGAGGCTGGGCTATAGTAAACCACTGAAGTTGGTTACTACCTGTATGAAACCCCATAGGCATGACACTTACCCTGCTTCTCTGTGCCCCAGCAGAAGGTGCCAATAACACATAGCAAGTATAGCCAAGTTTGTTTATGGATATATAGAGGATGAAGAAGAAAAGAAGCAAGCAGGGAGGCTGAACCCCTTCCATCTTGCTCTCTTGCTGTCCTTCCACCACCTGCAGCACCAAAGGGCTGTGCAACAGAATCATGTAATGGCAGAGAGGTTGTAATTGCTCAACCCCAGCTCCCCCTTGGTCCAGAAAACAGCTGTACCCACCCTCTACTGAGCAAAGGCATGGAGTACTGCCCTTTGCTCTGATGCTTTGGGCTCCAATCCTATCAAATTTATCCCATCTTACTTAGCGCTACCATGGATGATTCTGCTTCCCTCTAAATGGCTGCCTTGATAGTTCATGAAAATACCTGTCTGGATGGGGAAAACACTGTCACAAAAAACCCCACATCACACAAAAAACCCCAAACCCACAATCCGCCTCACCTAACCACAGTCCTTAACTGTTTCCTCTGGCCTATAAATGTAATCTCTGCCGAATCAAACTCCACCCAGCTTAACTGTCAGTGTTGGCCACATACTAAAAAAGTTATGTGCCTGCTGTTATCTATCACAGCTTGGTAACAGTAAAATTGTGCCTTGTCTGTTTATTGTTGGCAAAGATTCTGCAAAGTCCCATTATTTCTCCTTGAATCCACACATAAACACTGAATGGGACAGGACTGAGAATGAAAGTCCTTTCCTGGTTAACACATTTCCCCTAGGCCCATCTGTTACCCTCGGAGCAGTATCAAAGCACTGCTGCTAAGGAATAGTGTGAGGAGAGCTGGGAGGGAGTACGCTCTTCTTTATTCAAGGAAAACAGAGGATGATCCAGGAATTCCACCAATTCTGTTTATCTTTAAATAGAATGATTCATGTTGCCTTGCAAGCATAACAACTGATTTACAGAAAATTGTTTAAACAAAAACAACAATTATCCTCTTGCCTCACTACTGAGGATTTTTGCTTTCCTGATAGAACACAGCCACACCACCTTTGGAGTTGCTCAGGGTATATGAGTGAGAACCTCTTAAAATATAAAAAAATCATAAGCTGTTATTACTGTGAAAATGATAATCACTGAAGTAGTTACTCTTTAAAGAGTCCTAATTTCAAATTTGGGTTAAAGATGATTGGACTAGAATATTACATGTAGACATATGCTCTTTGTTCGTTTTTTGGTAGCTTCTCTACAACCCAACAACAAAGGCTACAGCATCCCAAGACACTGGTTGAACTGATGCCACAGAAATTGAAAAGGATGTGAAAGATGAACTGTCTGATTTCGACACCTTCCAGACGAAAGCACTTGGCCCAAACTGAAGACAGACAATGGCTGCTTAACGGATTGCTTTCAAAAAGCAAAATATACATTAATCTTTTTCTCATTCAACCAAGAAAACACTCCTTATCTAGAAGAAGATTCCTTTGTCTAGGAGCGAAAAAACAGGTTTAGATGGTTCCACAGATTGGCCATGAAGAACATTAGGCCTCCTAGCAACGTTCTTCAGCACCCTCCACATGCAGACTTGGCTCTGCATTTCCACTGCCTACTGTACATGGCAGTCATATACTTTGGGATATGACTGTATATGGAGTCTGCGTCTGGCAGCCCTGAATAGTAGGTGGTCTGAATCGCTCATTACTCTCATGCCATCGGATTTGGGGCAGCAAGTTAAGCAGTGTGAACAGAGCTCTTGGGCATGCAAACAGAAGAGAAAAACATTATCCTTTGTGCTCAACTCTTGAATAGTTCTTGCATCATTTCCTTAATGTACAGCGAACTGAGATGCAAGCCCTCACACAAGCCCTTAGAAATTCTCTGGGGGCTGCTCTTTCCAAGCGTTGTCTAGCCAGACACTGTGGGATGTTTTTTTGCTGTCTGAAAATATCCCCATCTTGTTTTTATGAACAATTTTCTTCTGTTTAAGAAACCACTGTCGTATTTTTTATGCTAAAATCTTTAAAATACTTTGTAATTATTTACATCGCGCCTTGGCTAAAGCAGTGTGCTAGAGAGAATTTAGCCAGGCAGCAAAAAGCTTCAATTTAGGGAAGGAGGTGGTGTTTCCCCTCAATCCGTTTCTGAGGTAAAAAATGTTTTCTGCAGCAAAATGCCTCTGACAGCAAGTTTGTATGGTTCTGTCCCTGCATGTTCCTTGACTGCTTCCTTCTTTCTTTAATAAAGACTGTATATCATGTGTCAAACTTCTGATTTATTTTTACAGCATTATAAATGCATTTCGTACAGAAGATCATTCATAACATCAGTTTTAATACAGCACAACTACTTTAAGACTGTACTTCCTAAGAATTCAAAGGAAGCCACAGGTATATAAATGCCCTCTTCTGGATTTTCAGGTACTTATTGTCAAAAAATCACTCAAATACAGAGTCCTCGGTATGACATCAACTGGAAAAAGAGAAACTTTGGTACTTACTGATTTTTGCATATGAAGAAATTTTTCGTTATACAGACAGACAGTAAGCACTAACTACTGTATACACAATTCCTGTCTATCAGCCCTGGTTTCTATCTGAGGGTGTTTCTTCTTCCTCACACAGGAGGCCTTGTCTGTGCTTCGAAACTGCACCAATCCAATTGTGTTAGTGTAGCACAAGCACACAGGGTAGAAAACATAGGAGTGTTTTATACCCATGCAAATACTGTGATACAGGAAGGCCAAAACGTAAGGCTTTTCTATACTAGCAAAAATGCATCTATGCCAGAACTACCAGTAGTACAGCTATAAAGGTATAAAATTAACACAGGTGTGCACGTGCATACCCACATATACACACCTACCTCGCAAAACAGATATTCAGGAACTTATCGGCACGCCCTGCCAAAAATGGTATGTCCAAATCCTCACCTTCATTACAGGGGTGGGGTGGCTTGTGTGAACGTGCCGAGATTTTGACCTAACTTTTCAACCTCAAGAAACCACACGCAGGGCTCCAGGCTGACACCTCCAGATGTTGACTTGCCCGTAAACCCTCACTTGACTCAGCAAGCCAGAAAAATGACCCGGCTCCCGAGTAAGGCCTTCAGCGGAGAGCCCGTGCGCAGCGGACAGAGGGACGGCGCCAGGCCTGCGAGGGCTGCAGGCCGAGGCGGGGTTCCTCGGGGGAGCCGGCATGACAGACACCCCGCAGCAGGCGACGGCGCCGACG